AGAGAGAGAGAGAGAGAGAGAGAGAGAGAGAGAGAGAGAGAGAGAGAGAGAGAGAGAGAGAGAGAGAGAGAGAGAGAGAGAGAGAGAGAGAGATTTTCATAAAACATCAGTGGTTAAGTGATCATAGTGATGTCGTCGCGCCATGTAAGCCAAGTGACACGTTATACTTTCGTTTTTCGTCTTTGCTGAGTTCACCTAGAGGTCCTAGAGTACCCTATACGCAGAGAGTACGAATGATTTGTGTATGACTCCGCGAAGTGGTGGCGAGTGCGATATTCACGTCGAAGTGACCCCTCAACGGCCTGAACGCGGGTCTGCAAAAGCAGCTCTTTGTGACACTCGTCACTCTTTCGTTTCTTTTTCTCTAGCGTCGCGAGGGCTTTGACGTCTCGGAGACGAAGCTCTTCCCCTAGGGTGTTGCTTACGGGGCTGTAGCTGACTTCGTTTGGGGGAGGGCCCGGATGGGGGCCGGGCTCCCTTGTCACCTTTTGAGGCTTGTGGGTCAGTTGTTTTTTTTCATTTTTGGAAACACCTGGTCGGAGAAGACGGTTGTCAGTTCGAGGAGTCTTGTCAAGGAGTTTTTTTTCGGAGACACCTTGTGTGTTTTGTCTTCAACGGTTCAACTTGTGACTTGTCTATACACAACTCAGTGAACTCAGAGAAGACGCTTCTTTGTTGTTGTATAGCAGAGCCATGCTCTTGTTTTACACAGTGTACGTCCACAACTCCACAATAAGAGTATGTTAGAGTCGCAGCTAGTGTGTGTGTGCGCACTGTATAGTGGTTTGACCCTCTAAGACTCGGCACGTAGAGACTGGAGAGTTAAGGACATGTAAAGGAGGATTGGCCTGTTCATGTAACGGCTACGAGTCTTTCAAGCCGTTTAGGTCTGTCGTTGTTCTTCTCTTATTGAAGAGTAGATGTTTGTTTAGTGGTCGTCCTGCAGTGCAATTTGACATAGAGAGCCGTGACAAACGGAATATATCCCGCTTGTCATAGTCTCACTCAGACTCGCTGTGGTGCCCATGACCAGACAGGCTTGAGTGTGTGATCGATACATCCTTTTTGCTCAGCGGTGCCCTTGACTGACCAGCAGTGATTTCAAGTTTGACCTGATTTCTGTTTCTAGCAACGACTTTTTCTACTGAGCCTGTTTTTTTTCTCCTTACGTTGGTCAGTCACCGTCAGTGGCTACCAGAGAATCTCTCTC